CAACTACGAATTAGAAATTAAATCATTTCATTAAAGTAACTTACAGTAGTTTATGATAACGTGTGCAGTACATCTTTCTGATGAATGTACTCCATAAATGTTAAGTATCATTGGAATGAATGAAAGCCATCATTTAAACTGAAATGAACTTTTTCTTCATGTAGATCATAAGCAACGAAATAGGAATTTTATCATTTATAGAATTTCATAATTATTAATTTTGTAAGGCCTAGTACTAATTACCTATATCTTTTTAAGAGCAGCTCTTTAGAATTGAAACGTGTGGTAATGTAGATTTTTTGAAAATAAATTGTATTTTCATTTCATTTTTTACAATAAAATCGAAATCAAAATAATTAGAGAAACTTATCATACTACTATTTCAAAATCGAGAATGAACAAACCAAAGCCGATTTAATAATACCTCGCTAGAAACTTGTAGAGTTGAAAGCACCCCCATTCGATATATGCGAGTATTAAAATAACATGTCAGCGAGCTCTCGAGACGAAACGACAGGCGCTGTGCTATGCTAATGATATACAAATGAACAGGGACTCGATAAAAATACACTGCACAAATACTATCATACGTCACTTGTCCTCGGTGAACAACTATCAAATGGGTATTCGTAGATCGCGTAGAAATATCATGTGGATGTAAGAATATAGCTTGGTTTTTAAGACCAAATTTTACAATTTATATTTATTTTACTTATTTAAATATAATAAATTCAAAATAGAGCCTCGAAGCAGAAAATCAGCGATTATTTTTCTGTTAAAATGGTGGCAAATAAGTACATGACCCGCCTGATGGTAAGCGGCCACTACAGCCTATAGAATATAGCCAAAGCTCGCGTCGTTGCCTACCCTGACCTCATCCCCTACCCCGTGGAGCCCTGGAACCTTTTTACTGTCTGTCTTCTATAAGATGTAGGCACTTTCCAGACGGGAGCTCCAATTCAAGCTGAAAATCAGCTATACCCTACCTCTCTTAAATGAACATTTCTTGCGACTTTTCCCAGCAGTGTGCCAAGTTTCTATGGCAATTCTCTCGATACACGAAAGTACTCAATAAAACTTTGTTTTTACAAATAAAATGGCATGACAATGTCGAAACTTGTATATTTATGTACAGACCTGAGAGCTTTTAACTTTCCGTCTCTAAATGGGCCACTTTTTGGTCTTATTACGATGCCGTGCCACATCTCCTAATAACGAGCGGGTCGGATCTAGTAATGAGATTTTAATTGAGGGTGTGGTCGCGGTGATCCGGCGACAGATACGGGTAACTTCATTACGCCGCCGGACGATTACGTTACCTAATGTAATTGTTCTGTTCAACAGTTTCGCGTCGATGTTTGGCGACTCTAAGTGGTGCTCTTAATATCTTTAATAGGGCTGCCTGTAACACGGATAAGGTACTTTTGACGTAATTACGTCTTATAAATCGATGAGCACCGGAATAGGGGTTCTTTCAACCCTATGTTTTTTTTTAATAATTACTAGACCAGAAGCCGAAGGAGAAAGTCGTGGCTGCGCAAAATCTGCGAGTGCACCGGTATCAACGGCACCGCTGAACTGTTTCGCCTTGCGAAGGACAGAGAGAATTTTTCCGAATTGACGGCCAACCTTCAGTAATGAAGAGGCTCTATAAGAAGAATTCGTGAAATCTGTAATAGGAGTGACATAATCGTGATGATCGCCCGACTAACACTGTAAACAACGAAAAGATCGACATGTAGCATACCAGGAGATTCGGGCATCTTTAAACATAGATACGAGTCAAATATGATGTAACCTACAAGAAGATTTTTGTGCGAAAAAATCAGGTGTTCTCGATAGATCGATTTAAACAAGCAGACAAGGCAAGTTAGTGTGACTCGCTATCTTCGTACGCCATCAGGCATAGTTACAGATTGTCATTTGCTTATATAAGCGTAAAATCGCGTCCTTCTCGTTTAGGAAACGTCTGTGTCTAACAGGCGGTCGTGTTCACTCGGGCAAGAAAATGCCCAGCGACGGCCGCTGCTTAGTGTTAGGCTCAACTCACACTAGCGCAGCGTCGAAGTGTCGCGTCGCGTCCTGTTTATCAGCTGCGGCGCGCGTCGACGCCCAGTTCAGTACTGTGCTACGTCTAGTGTGGTCGCCATCAAATGCGACACACGCCGAACGGCCGACGCGCGATTCCGGCCGACCTTGTCCAAGCGTCTCGTCGCATCACGGCGCGCGTCGTCGAGCGTCGGCGCGTATCCCTCAATAGTGGGAAAATAGAGATGAATTTGCTACAGGCATAACGCGGGAAACCATGACGTGTCGCGTCGCATCGACTCCGCGTCAGTGTGAATTGAGCCATAATAATAAAAAGTACGCTACACGCAACTGTACGCTCACACACTGTCAGCCAAATTTCATCAGCGGTTTACCGATAATAATGACACGGCTGTCGTCGGGACATGTGAAGCCACCGAGGGTAATTCTTAGGTCAGAAAACAACAAATAGAAAAAGATGTAAGTATATCATTACAATCAATGCAAGAAAAACTAAAGAGAGTGTATTTCTTTAGGTAAAGAAATATTTTCTTAAGAGACTCGCAAATGTGACATTATGACTAATCTATTCGAGTTCTTTCGTGATTCGGCAGGTAAACATGGTCAAAGAGGTGCCAGATCACTGAGCTATGATCATAGCATCCGGCAGAGGAGGAAGCTTATATTTGATAGAAGACTGCAGCCAAGTAATACTTCAAAATCTATCAAGATTTCCAGACCTCGAAGGCGTAGGGGCCTAAGTTTCCTTACCTTACCTTCATAACTAGAGTTCCCTTATGCTTAAATTTGAAAAACTCGCAAAAAACTCGCAGTTGGTTAAGCATTCCATAAAACTATGTGAAAGTGGTAGTATATAAAAGGATTATTACAAGAAAGTTAAATATTAATAGAATTAAGATGAAAGGCCCACAACATTTGTTGCAACGTCAACCAAATTTATCTCTGTATATCAGTCCAGTAACTATTCCGCCACTTTACACACTTCAATTTTCTCCAGTAACTACACACTACATAGACGAAAATTACAATAATGACATAACCGGTTTATTCCCACATAAAACGTAGTGAACTGAATGATGCGCGTTAAACACCGCCATTCACGACAGCTTGATTTTCCAGGTCCGTGGCCCGCAGTCCGCGTCACGTCGAGATGCAAATGAGCGAAGGCGCCACCGCCGCCGGGCCGGGCGCCGCGGCGGCGTCATCCTAATCGCCGCTCGGTGGTGTTAGGTGACTACACCCGGTCCAGCATTATGAGGGACTCAATTGATTTGCGATAGTAAATTGAAATATTGTAAAAATTGGGATTCGTTCTGATTATATTATGAAAGGTTAGCGAGTTAAAAGAATAATAGCCGTGACAACAACGACGCATTATGATGCATTGCATTAAATATTCAAGAATGGTCAGCAAAACCAGAGTATTGTCAAAAAAAATGTCGCCAAGTTTAAATAGAGATAATAATAGAAGCACTAAAAAAACTACAGGTTTGTGATTGTCAGAGTAGATGATGACACGGTATAATGACAAGCCTAATCAAGCTTTGGTGAGAACGCCGCTTGGTGGTGTTAGGTGGCTACACCCGGCCAGGCATTATGTGGGACTCGATTGATTTGCGTGAACGTATTGATAGATTACTATATTATTTATATCATTGGTATTCATTTATTATTTGGTTATGAATGGGTTAGGAGATTAAAAATTGTGACTACAATGATTCTGAAATGGCAAATCAAGACCAGTGTAACGTCCTTTGTGGATTTTTTTAGCAAAGTTTAAATAGAGATAAAATTAAAATTACTGAAATAATTTGCGATATCTGATTAGTAGATAGATTATAATCATTAGGATTCATTTTATTATATAATTAAGGATTAGAAGAATGTGTGCCAATGAAAATGCATTTATTGTAATATGTGACTTTTTAAGCCAAAATTAGATGGTTATATTAGTAAAAGTACTGAAATAACGTCATGTGTGTGATTGTTACAGTTGATATTCCCATTGTAAAACGGATTTGAACGGTCAATGCCTTTAGTAACTTTGAGCTAGAACAACACTCTTCGGACACTTGGCAAGCCGCTCTAGTATTAGCATGATCGCCGACCAGTGGTGTTAGGTGATCCATCCAAGTTAATAAAGCAATGACCTGAGCTTAAAAATGTAAAAGTTAAAATTAAAATTCAAGTATATTTACATGTTTCATAGGGTGAAGTCGTTATCGGTCGCAGATGGTATTTACATAATCTCACAAAATTTTCTATTACAATGTAAATACCAACTGCGACTAATATTATCTTGTCGAATTTCAAACTACAAGCATCAATCTTCGGATAGATAGTGCTGAGAAAATCTTAGAAATTTTTAGCCAATAGGCAACACCTAGGAATTCAATAAATAAGAACATCGACATCAGGGCAAGTATAAGAAAACTGACCTCGGCCGAGTGAATAAACCCTCTAATCGAACTCTGACGCGAGGGGCCCGAGGCATAAATCAGGCTCCCCTCGCGATGACGCCCGGCGGAGCCTTCAATTTGGCACATCCTTAAAATGACACACGAGAAGCGGCTCTAACGACGCGCCGTCAACGCGCCACGCCGCCGTCTTATAAATAAAACACGCACGCATTAAATAGATTAACATTTTCAGAATAATAGAGACGTTCATGGTTCATGCGAACCAACCAAAATCGTCGGTCGAATCGCCTTAATAATGTGGCACATTGGTGAGTACCGGTTTGCCAGGATTAAGAAACGTCCAGTTATTTTTTTTCTTCAAACTAAGTTAGATAGGCATCATTCACAACAAGACTGAATTGCTGCAATTGCTATATTCAACAATATATTTCAAAGTCATGGAAAGCTTTCTTTGCAACTTGACACCGCTGACACTTAACATTAAATGTAGGACTAACATAGAAATTTGCGAGAGCATTAATAAAGAAAACGCTATGGACTGTATTCTTTAACATGCTTTCCGTGTGGGATCGTAAATACAGTATTTCCATGTTCCCGCGACACCTCCAAAAACAACTGGAAGCAAAATATAAATTCAACCAGAGCGAAATCAGCGGCAATCAATCGATACACACTACAAGAACTCTTGATCCCAGAATCGCACGGCAAAATCACGTCGTCTAATTCCGTCGTCCATGTATCACCGGATCGGTCGCGAAAGCAATCAGGGCGGCGTCGTAGACAAACTGTCGGGGCGGGCCTTAATTGGCGGTCGTGAGATTTATGCGGGCAGCCGGCCCGGCCGTCATGAGGCTGCGCGCTGACCGCAGTAACGCACCGCAGGCCGCGAGCTGTGACGACCCTACCCTCCGCAAACACGAACCTACCGCTTATTAACACATCCGCAATACCAACACCACAATGGGGTTGGGTTAACCGCGTCAGCTACGTCTTTGGAAACGTTTTACGCTTAAAAAAGCATTAAGTCGATAAAATCATTTCCACGCGCGCTATCCTATCTGTATGCAGCAGCCAACGCTATTCAACCAGCGCGAATTCTTTGTTTTCAGGTTTATTTACGTTTGTTTGTTTCGCGGAGGAATGTATTCCGCAACAGCAGCTCTTTTAGGAATAACAACAGTACACGAATGTTGCTCGAGGCTTCCAATAGTCTCTCTGACTTGCAACAACTGCAATCTAGTAGAACGTGGGCGCTCGTCTCCTTCTCCTCTATGCTAAGTTTAATCAAAGAACTGTTAGAAATGGCCTGCTTAACGGTTGTTTAAATAGTTTAGTGTACTTACGTGATCGCCGCAGGTAAACCTATAGGGAACTGCTTCTTTTGCTTGCCTGCATTCCACCAGGTCTTTCAGTGATCAGCGGGTTGGCGATGACAGCGCTCTTTTACATGGATTTCAGCTGGACAAATAGTATTGGTAGGACTAGCTCTGAGCCAATGGTTATTGCGTTACAGACATTCCTGAAGATACAGTCCACTGCATTATTGCCATTGAGTAACAGTGTCATAAAAATCATATTTAGTAACTCATTTCCATGCTGCATATCCAGAAAATGCTGTTTCATGAAGATACAGTCCACTGCATTATTGCCATTGAGTAACAGTGTCATAAAAATCATATTTGGTAACTCATTTCCATGCTGCATATCCAGAAAATGCTGTTTCATGAAAATACAGTCCACTGCATTATTGCCATTGAGTAACAGTGTCATAAAAATCATATTTCGTAACTCATTTCCATGCTGCATATCCAGAAATGCGTTTTCATGAAGATACAGTCCACTGCATTATTGCCATTGAGTAACAGTGTCATAAAAATCATATTTAGTAACTCATTTCCATGCTGCATATCCAGAAAATGCTGTTTCATGAAGATACAGTCCACTGCATTATTGCCATTGAGTAACAGTGTCATAAAAATCATATTTGGTAACTCATTTCCATGCTGCATATCCAGAAAATGCTGTTTCATGAAAATACAGTCCACTGCATTATTGCCATTGAGTAACAGTGTCATAAAAATCATATTTCGTAACTCATTTCCATGCTGCATATCCAGAAATGCGTTTTCATGAAGATACAGTCCACTGCATTATTGCCATTGAGTAACAGTGTCATAAAAATCATATTTTGTAACTCATTTTCATGCTGCATATCCAGAAAATACTTTTTCATGACATACAGTCCACTGCATTATTGCTATTGAGTAACAGTATCTTAAAAATCATATTTCGTAACTCATTTCCATGCTGCATATGCAAAAAAAGCTTCAGCATGGGCACGTCTACCGTCTCATTTAAAATGAACTCATCCAATACTCAACTCAACACTCATTTGATATTCCGCAAACATAAACCCAACACATATTAAAATATCCGGAGTACAAATATAGAATTTGGTTAAACGTAGTATCAAGGTTTTTATAGACATGTTATGTTGTGAGCTGAGCGTGTAAAATTTTTTTTTAGAACTGAAAATAAGCGCTACTAAGGCACCAACAAAATAATATAGACAAATTGATTCAAATCATATATCTTAATTGCGATAAGACTCTAAGCAATACCTTAATGACGTACTTGACATTGTGCTTGCTAATGAACCCAATCCCCTATCAGCAGAAATACATAAGGAGAACGGACCATAACCCTCAACGTTGGTCTAGTGCGTTGGGGTTTTCGACATTGACTGGGTATAAAATTATTGTTCGGGAACATAATGCAATTTCAATTTTAGTTTTACTATGTATAACTAACTAAGCACTTGAAGATAAACAAGGGCGTAGCCAGGATTTAGTTTAGGGGGGGGGGGGGGGGGCAAGTGAAACTAATATGTTCGCTACAAAAATTAAATTTCATATAAACTAGAGCAATTTTCTCGGCTCTCTTTCTTGCATCATCTTTTGCTGGACACTTAACATACACAGGTCATTTATGACGACCTCAACCACGTTTTGACTACACCGCAATGTAGAGAAATAACTCTCTACATTGCTCGCGGTGCAAGACAGTGCCAAAGAAATTAGTATAGGTTTTCTGGTTGGAGGAAAGAATGTTTCCGCCTTCTCTAACAACTTCGCAAAGTTCCAGTGTGGATATAAGGAAATCCAAATACGGAATGAAGATCGATCGCTTTCAAAAATCGCATGGAGTCTCAGCAGGATGATTGGACTGATGTCGTTGGCGAAATGCAATGCGCGGGATATGTAAATCAGTTGCAGTTTCCGTAGAAGTGTTGAAGACATATTGGAATTCCTGGTCCGCGTTACTGAGATGCTTCTTTCATATATATATTTCTATTGTCTTTGATTATAGGGTATTGGCAACAGGTTCCAATATTCCTGAGTATTTTCCTATCAAACCAGCAGATATAATAAATTCTTACTTGGTAGCAGCACAATATAGGTAAGCGTTTTTTTTTCGCTGCAGCATTACCTTCTCTAGAAATTGCCAAAAGCCCATTGAGAATACCCTCAAAATGATCGTTAAAAATAGCAATACTTTTGTTTTTTTGTGACCAGCGTGTCTCACAAAGAGCTGGAATATTTGGCACGTACTTTCTCCGTAGAGAAGATTCTCGAAAAAGTTGATGACATCTTTTATTGTGCTAATCGTGTCTCTTATTTCTGGAATATTATTAAAATCATTAACCGCCAAGTTTATTTTGTAACTTGCACAAAGAAAATACAATGCTTTTTTTTTCCCAAAAAGGATTAACTACAAATAAAAAACAAATATACAACTTTATAAAGGAAGGCTCAACTGTTAACTCGAAAAGCAAGCCTTTTTCAATCCTAGATACTGAACCTGACTAGACCTACAATGTACCAGATGATGTTGGTGTTCCGTCATCCAGGCCGGATGTATTCCCCTTTTTAGGCACATCAAACATAAGTAAAGTACTAATAGAGCTTACTGTATCGTACTAACATTCCAAAATACCTCACAATAAAATTGAATAAATATTACGATCTTACCAACGAACTAACCAAAAATGGCTATCTAGTTAATTTACATGCGGTAGAAGTAGGGGCGAGAGGTAATCCAGCAAAATCTTTCTATAACCTTTCTAAAAGAAGATAGCTTGTGCTAGCTAGTAAATAATAATTTTCGAATAACTTATTTTTATAATGCTTCTAAACCTGTGTTTTAAACGGGCCATAGTTGCCCGGTAATGTGTGGCTACTACAGATGGCCCGGCAAAATTATATTTTTAAAAATACCTTAATACTTGTTAGTTGTACACACAGTAACATTATACAGACTTTAAAAAAATCCTTATATCCATCATTTTAAGTCCAAGAAATGCTTAACGAAAAATGCGTACGAAATCACTTCACTGTTTACGAGTAGTCCTATCGAAATTACAGCTGTAGTAACGAGACTAATGAGAGTGATGTGCGATTCTATATTTTTTTTAAATTTTATATTTAGTTTTTGAAATATTTTTTATTTAATTTTTGGTTCTGAAGCTCCTCGATCTAGGGGGGGGGGGGGGGGGGGGCAGCTGCCCCCGTACGTACAGCTGCCAGCGTACCTGGCTACGCCCATGAAGATAAAGTTTTGATCTCTCAATGATTTTAAAATACTTTAACAACTAGTATTGAGAAGGCTAAAATGTAAAACACAACGTTGTATTGCTACAATTGTAAGAATTCAACGGACAATGAAATAATTATGAGTTTTACCTAAATTTTCAACCAAAAATTTTGTGTTCTAATGTTAGTCGGTACTCGAATAGCTAAACAGTAAAAAGTTTATTTAATATTAGACTTCAGTCTTGCGAATATTAAAAACCTAACGTAGAAAGTAAAATAATTTTATTCTAAGCAAAACAACCCGCCATAGTAGGAAAGTTGATGTACATATAAAAGACTATGATATATGTACATCATAGTCGACTATGATACCCTATAATATGATTCCCTGGTGACCCTTGTGAGGCATTATTACTCATACCGCGCTCTGAAGTCAAGTGCATAGTAATATTACATATTTTTTAGGATTCTGTAGCAAGGCAAAAAAATATTTTACATATTAATGCAGTTTAAAACAAGTACTTCCTAATTTTACTTTCAAACCTGTGGAACTCTAGCATTGCTATTGCTGTGAACTAAGCCAGGTTTGATTTCAATTCATAGCACTATTCGATTCGATTTCAAGTCATGTGTCTATGCGTTTATGCTTTGTCACATTTATTAATCGAGTTCACATTAGAGTTCGGAAACCAATATGTTTTACTATATTTCATTTAATCTTATTTCAAAAACCAATTAAGACTATTGGCTCAATTACATTTGGTCGTTAGCCCGTATTCGGATGCACGAAAGACATTACTTGAATTCGGGCACCCGAAGCAATATATACAATGGAATATGGGCTAGAAGACGGTGTCTGGTAACCAAAACGAAAACTACACGAATACGGGCATACTCGAATCATTCACTTATACTTAGTCGTTTAGGACGTTGTTGGTCGGTCTTACACAAATTCCATTGGCACTCGTATTCGGACTAATGACCAAGTGTAACTGCGCCATGTTTATGATACTAAGTTCAAGTAAGGTTATACTTTCTAAGGTTGTTAAGAACTAACGCCTCATCTTTATCCTAAATACACATTTAAACAGATATTAAGTCACAGAAACAGACAAGAACAATTACTTAAATGTTGACATTTTATCCAAACTACCAGTGACTGAACAACGTTCATAATAATAATAAGCGAAAACTACACTCATGTAGGTACCTACCCAAAAGAAATCATGTGGTGTTTAGATGAAGCAAAGGTCTCCAAGCGGCAGCGTTGTTTTTACGGGGCCGATGAGATGGCGGGAGGGCAAGGGTGTCCCCCAAGGCAGCGGGGGTAAACTGGTGCCGTTTTCAATTTGCTTTATTTGCGCTTGTTTTAATAGCGCTCAGTCCTTATTGCCCGTACGGACGAGCAGCCAAATTGCTTCGTGGCTGGACGCCTTTTGATTAAGGAGCTGCACGAATAAGCGCGATAACAATGTGACCATTTTTGATGTTAAATAAATACAAATTAGCTGTTTAGCCAATTTGTATTTATTTACCATACAACAGCTGTAGACATACATATACACATATATATATATATATATATATATATATATATATATATATATATATATATATATATATACATAGTCAGGTAGGCAAATGACTCTATCCCACTAATTAGGTGGTGATAAAATACAAATGATAAAAACCAACCATCCTCACCTTGCAGGCCTGCAAAAATGCTTCTTCACACCTCTCTTAAAGGACCCCAGATTGTAGGAAGGAAGGAACACATGAGCGGGAAAAGAATTTCACTTGCGAATAGTACGACAAAGAAATGAGTCACCAAATTTCTTTGTTCGTGTAGGAATGACACACCACAGTGAGTCGATGGCTTCTCAAGAAAAGGTGATGGAGGGATAAGGGAGAATAACTCCTCAGAACACTCGCCGTGGTATAGTCGGTAGAATTCCCTTAATAAATAAATAATAATAAATAATAAATATTTCCAACACTCACACCAATTAGCCTAGCCCCAAAGTAAGCACTGTAAGGCTTGTGTTATGGGATACTAGGGTAACGGATAGAATACATATACTGTACATATATTAGCATATTTATATATAAATACATATTAAACATCCATGACTGGAGTACAAATGCTCGTATTCATCACACAAACATCTGCCCCCACCGGGATTCGAACCTGGGACCTCTCGAGTCGCCGACACCATGAAATCCGGCGTCCAAACCACTCGGTCACGGAGGTAATGATGCCACAACACGGCGTAATTGTAGACTCGAGTTTGTTAGTTACCTCCTCATCGCCAATGCTGCGGGCAGCACGCCGGTGCAACCTATCAAAGGCATCGAGTAAGTACTTAGCGGAGCCATCCCAGAGGTACGAGCAATATTCCACGCAGGACCGCACTTGCGTTTTGTACAACAAGCATAGTTGATCAGGGGTATAAAACGCCACACCTTGTTCAGGACTCCGAGTTTGCGTGAAGCTGTTTTGATCACGGTTTCAATGTTATCGGTTAACGGTCTGCGCGAACTTCATACCGAGCATGGTGATGTTGCTCTGTAGCGCCAGTGTTGTGCCCAGAAGAGAGGAAAGGGGAAGAAATGGCTATGTTTTTGCCATGAAAGAGCAAACTCAGTTTTTCTGATACTAATATTTTCATAATATTTACCAACTATAAGGAAGACCATTTTTATTTAAACAAACAAAAAGCTATCAATTAACGCTAATAAATACTAAAAAGACAAACAGTTGTTCACAGGTAAACAAATATTCCCGTATCGTAAATATAAGTCACGTGAAATAATGAGCCGTGTGTACACATAATATGAGTTTACTGTAGCCGTATGTATAGATAAACAATTTGTTAAATGCACAGCTTGTTAAATGGTAGAGTGAATAAATAAATAGAATGATTGAAACAAGTAATATTTTTATAGATATACAGATACATTTAAAATGTCTTATTTTTATATCAATTTTCAGACGGTGTATATACGCTATCGCCAAGTTGGTGTTAAAATTTTCAAGATTTTTGGTAGCTTTCCTTCTTTTAAATTGTTAGCCTGACTTTTTTATTAATTGAACAACTTCAAAAATCCTAAAACAGTAATATATTTACAGCACAATAACTTATCGATTCATGTGTGCTGCCAAATCGCTTCACAGCCAGGTATGTTAAGCAACTTATCTGGTTAGTTCATTATCATCATCATCAGCCTGTTACGTCCCCACTGGTAGGGCACAGGCCTTCCCTATGGATGTAAAAGGGAGATTGGGCCCACATGACCCACAACGCAGGCCCAGTGCGGTGTTAACGACTGCAGATGTCGCCAGGACCAACGGCTTAACGTGCCTTCCGAAGCACGGTCCTAGTTAGTTACTTAACTGTAAATGCTATTATATACCAGTCACGGAAATACACACAAGAGGTTCTGCCGGTTGCAGCTGGTGCGGTCGGTCAATCTTTCGTGTCGCCGGCGCGTGTCAACAAAGGGCAGGGCTGTCAGAGATCGCGGTGTCACGATAACAAATGGATTAATTTAATTATTGACTCGTTAAAGCAGTCCCGATACGTATTGTCAGATCGGGCTACAGAACGCTAACATGTGATGATGTGACAATGGCGTTGTGATAATGGTGGGAATTAAAAAAGGACAATTTATGTTTTTTATGAATATGCAAAAGTAAAAACTAATTTACTAAAAACAAGTTAAGTATAATAATTATGATACGCCCAAAAAAAATAGATTAAATTAAAGAAGTGACAAAAACAGGTTATTGTTCATACGTCAATAATAAACAAATAAGTTTAGACGTTAATCCGTAGCCCCCTGCTACGGAAAAAAGTTACATGAACGTTTTTTTTTAACTCGTTAGAAACCTGTCGATATTTCAATAACTATATGTTTAACATTTTTATTACTAAATTACAACTGTGGAAAGCCGGGTCAAAAGCAAGTAAATGAATGAATGTTTGGATCTACTAATTTTATTTCATTTTAACCTGGACAAAAACACATCAATTCACGAACTGGCCAAACGTTAGCGCAACATTTTAATAAGCAAATTAATTTGCGTTCACCGCATGGCTGTGTACTTTTCAATAAACTAAAGGTCCATCACAGATTCTGCTAATTGGGAAGCCATTTTGTTTTACCAAAGTGAAACTACATTGTCGAGGTTTCGCGTAAAAGCTTTTTGATACTTTTCAGAATTTTGTAACGTAACGTTTATTTCGTGACCTAAAATATGTAGCAAACCTTTTGATTTATAATTAACGCTAAGCGGCAAGATATTCGTGACCATTTTATATTTATAAGTCAAATACGAATTAGTTATTTAAATAGATAAACCGACTAATTTCATCATTGGTTCAATAAAGAATAATATGGCATATTTAAATTAGTCTAAAGATATTATTACAAATAGCAGACCCAAACGTCTAAAGTTTAAACAAGTCAGCTTTATGGTTAATTAAAATTCGTGCTAGTCAAGTAGTTTTTATATTATATATCATCGATTATTACATATAATTTTACATTTGATGACGGCGACAATGTAACACCTAAAATAGATAAATCTGACACTTACCTCAACCAATGACGTTTAGCGATGGCCGTGTGACAGCAGATCGCGTCGTACTGGTCAGCTATCCACACGATCAAGATAATATAGAACGCCGTAGTGGTGTCGTTGAAGAATTCCGACATGATGGCTTCCATGCCTGGTGACAAATTAGAAAACAAGCGTTACAAATGCGAGCTAAGATTCCTATCCCCTTATTAATATACGAAGAATACGGTGGGATCGGTTACTCCATGTTTTGTCTCTTTTTTTCGAATGACAAATGGCAATTGACGACCTCCGTGGCCGAGTGGTTTGTACGCCGGGTTTCATGGCTGTCGCCGACTCGAGAGGTCCCGGGTTCGAATCCCGGTGGGGGCAGATGTTTGTGTGATGAATACGAGCATTTGTCCTCCAGTCATGGATGTTTAATATGTTTTTATATAAATATACTTATTTATGTACAATATATGTATTCTATCCGTTACCCTAGCATCCCATAACACAAGCCTTATAGTGCTTACTTTGGGACTAGGCTAATTGGTGTGAGTGTCGGAAATATTTTATATTTATTTATTTGAGTGATATGAACAAAACACAGCGTTACTAGTCTTTATTGGTAAGGGGGATAATGTTTAACTATCGTGAAAGATAAAAGTATGAGAGCAATGACATCACAGGGTATATGCCCAACTACACCAATCACTTAATCTTGTGCCCACTAGTGAAAGTATATATAGATTTGAATTAAAAAAATATTTAATAAAATATTAAAAAGGACTGATAAAGCTAGGAAATGACTCGTATGGCTCATCGGGCCGATCAGCCGTATGATTGTATGAGCCTTTGTTAGACGAATAAACCATAACAAATACAATTTGGTATGTAATTAAGTTATGCTGATGTTTGCAGATACTAAGTGCGAGATCGTGAAACACCAAATCTATCCTAAGGGTAATGCCACTAATCCACAAAATAAATGATATCTCTTGAAGCTTAAATTCTTAATGCTCCCTGGTTAAAATTGATACTTTAATTTGGTGGCGAGTAACATTAGATCGACTTTCAGGTCAGAGTATACTTCTACAGGATTTTCCAATTGGAACAGGGTATCTGTGACAGCTTTTGTTCGACATATTAGATCTATAACCGCAATTTTTGATAGATACATTATTGAAATTTCAACATTTATTATATCAGTCACTATACAGTTTAGCCACGCTTTGAAATCATTAAAAAGTATGGTCAAAACGGTAGTTCAATTCATTAAGCATTTCGTGCGAAGAAACTTGTGGCCAACGTAGTCGTCTTAAGGAGGACACTATTCATCATATTATGGTGAAATAATTTTAAACTTTTTTTAAATAAACTATTCAAAACAAAATAGGGCCCACCCCGTTTTCCAGCTATAATTTATTTTGCCTTTAACTTCAGTCTATTTTTTTAATTGACGTGTTTATAATTGGCGTTTGGAAATTGTGTAAACATAAACAGCAGTGAAAATTAAAAGTTTTATGTGAATTACACAGTAATAACAGTTTTTAAGAAAATTAACACAAATTAACTAAGAAAGTAAAGTTTGAATATTAACAATATTTTCACACAAATTTAAGAAAATTGACTGTTTTAGTAGCGAGTAGGACCTCCTCTGGTCCGTATGCACTCTCTTAGTCTATCTGGAACGCTTTCGATTAAATGGGTAACGTTTTCAGTCGCTATTTGCTCCCAACAGACTTTAAGGGAATTTATGAGGTCTTGTCGGCTATTCACATGACTGAAATTAGACTTAAGGCTTCTTTTTAAATGATCCCATAAATGTTCAATAGGATTGAGGTCGGGACTCATGGCTGGCCACGGTAGTACCGCAATATTGGCTTCTGAAAGTGCTCTCTGAGTGATACGAGCCGTATGCGCGCGGGCATTATCTTGCATGAAGACGAAGTTTTCACCGATTGTTTGCCTAAATGGGATGACATGAGGTTGGATTACACGCTCGATGTAACTGGCAGCAGTAACGGTGCCTTCTTCCAGAAATACCAGCTCAGTTTTGCCCATTAAATTAATTCCACCCCACACCATTACACTTGGACCCCCGAAACGATCTGTTCCGTGAATTCAGGCTTCTTCTTCTTTAAAAACGTTCGTCTTCTTTTCTCCACACGCGGACTCGACGATCGTCACAAAAAATTTCACTTTAGACTCGTCTGTAAACAGTACTTTCCTCCAGTTGTCCATGGTCCAATTTAAGTGTTCGCGAGCAAAACTTAACCGTGCTGCACGATGTGCCCTTGTCAACTTGAGCCGGATTACTCGCATTCTGGATCGTTGGCCATCCTCATGAAGTCTATTCCGAATGGTTTGATCACTTACTCGTGTGCCAGTAGATTGGCGTAAACGATTTTGTAAGGTCCGAGCGGTTATTATACTCTTTCGACGTGCAGTCAATCGGATATAACGGTCTTCCTGGTCGGTGGTAGCTCGAGTTCTTCCTGTTCCCGCTCTCCTAGCAACACTACCAGTCTCTTGGTAGCGTTCCCACAGGTTACGGATAGCGCGTCGTGACACACCAACTCGTATTGCCACTGATCTCTGTGAATGTCCTTCCTGAATCATAGCCACCGCTCTTGAAGCTGTTTCCATATCCACATGACGGCGAGAACCAGGCACAATGATCGCAAATAACGTAGAAAATAAAACAAAATGAATAAAACAACAAGGTGCAACAGGAACAGTCAGACTGAGACTGTGAACACAAGTGATTGGGAATTTTAAAATTGGACGATTATTAGGGCACTTCACTTTTTTGTTTGCTCACTTAAGAGTAACATTTAACTTGTTGCTTGAAACATTGATAAAGATTCGTAAACATGTCAACAACACGTTAAAATGCTTCAACTCGCCAATAATTATCCCATATATTTTTTTTAGACAATATACTGGAATATTTATGAGTGGGCCCTATTTTGTTTTGAGTAGTTTATTTTTAAAGAGCCGTTGCATCCTAAAAGAATGACTATTTGATTTGTATTTTGGGCTAGGGGCTAAAGTGGTCCGTATTTTTCGAGAACGAAGTCGGTGCTACCTTAATTATGAATTAGTGATCATCGCTGAATCATAATACTGTTTTTTTTTGTCTGCAATGGAAAAAACTTTTTGATGGCCATTTGGTTTCAGCAGGGTAGCGTCAACTCTCATATTGCCAGAGAAATAATCAATTAATTAAAAGAGATATTCAAATTTTATGATTCAGGGATAAGACATTACCTCCAAGATCGTGTGATTTTTAAGGAACCTCGTTTTTTTTTTGAGTTTATGTAAAATTACTCTGTGAATGCAAACAATAAAAGTTAAACATAAGAAGCATCATCAACGAGATCAAGGTGCTATTATGTCAAAAATTAATGAAAATTGGACCTCTCGTATTCAGGCTACACCAAGTCGGGGTGATAATTTCAACGATGTCGTATTTCACACAAAATACCAAAGAGTAAGCTTCTAAAAATAAGCAAATCTTAGTTAATTGTAAGCAATGTTTTTAATCGAATTCTAACATACCCTGTTCTTATTGGAAAACCCTATAGTTGGCTACAGAAACATAACAGGAACTTACTCCATTAATCTCAAATAATAAATATTAAAATATAATAGTTACTAAATAATAAAATAAAAAAGAAGAAAATTCTTAAACATCTTTCTTATAGATGCAGAACAACATTTGCAGCAAAAACCCGGTTAGTTGCAGTGGCGCCACAGGGTCGTGGCGACGAGCGGGTCATGTGTGAGAGCGACACCCGAGCGCGGGCTCCAGTGTCGGAGCGAGTGTCGACTAATTAGGTGTCGACAATTACGCGCTAACGACCGAAACCTGACTCGAGCTGGCAGCTTATTAACCGCCCGGCATGCACCGACCGATTCATTCAGAACGTCTTACAGGCACACCGGATTTATGTGGCTGCGGGTTAAGTAGCTTTCGTATCCTAGACTCACGTGGAGTTAGTGTGAGGAGATTATATTGGTTTACGTCTATTTAGCCAGACAGAACACGTACACTGTGTAAACTTTTGATAAGATACTATAAATGGAACTCAAATACCTAAGTACCTACATCTAATTAGAGCCTCATTCGCCACAAGTTTGATCTGTCAAAAGTAAGTTTCTGAAATTCTAATTGATCGAATTTTACACCTAATCAGAAAAAGTTAGCACCGGAGACTTTTATGCCTGTATAGAAAATTATAAGCCTTATTTTAACGATTAACGTTTTTATTTTAAGTTTAACGTAAAGTTTGTTTTCAATGATTCTCTCTCGTTTTATACAGGCTAAGTATTCCATCCTATATTATCCTGTATTATGCCGCTCGAAAACCAAGTATAACTTGTTGCCCAAACTATTGAATTTGTTCAAGGTTTGCAAAATTAATGTTTGAATAATTTTTTAAATGGACACACGATTAATACTGTCTGGTCAACCAATCAGACATTATCACCCATGAAACGTTCACACTCCGGTCTAATCATGATCGGGATTGCGTTGCACGGTGGACTTCAAAGTTATATCCGATTTCATTGCCCAAATTCGGGCGTGGACGGGACGGATCGTGTGGTACATAACTCAATACGGTGGCATCTGTCCGACGCGACGGGCTGGGCCCGGGACTTATTTGCATTTTGATGAGGATAGCGACACTGATACAATAAACACGTAAGGCCACGACCGAGCGACTCTCTATCGAATCAAATAAAGACTGATCATATTGCAATTAAAAAATCTCAATCTAAAAAGGTTGAGCATTTCTAACTTCTCGTCGTAACTTCGTCTTCGTCGTGAACTTTAGAATTTCGTCGCCGGAGAACTTATCACCTGGATTATAAGCACCATATTTGTTCATGTATTGTGCAACGTGTGTGCTTGATTCATTGACAGAAACAGGTCTCCAATATTGACCGGTTATTAGCTTGTCAAGTACATAGCGCCTCTTGAACAAATTGAATTAACTAATTTTCATAAATATTCTCTAGATTTTGTAGCTTTTTTCCTGATATAATTTTCTGTTTCTTTTTGCGCCACATATATGGGATTCACATTATCTTTACTTTTAAGAAAACTTGAAAGCTGAAAGTATGTAAGGTCTTACTACTTATAATC